GTCGGCAAGAAATTCCGCAGCAGCCATGTAGCGTGCCTGAAGAATTTACTGAGAAATTACACGATCTCGCTTATAGGTCAGTATTTAAATTATGTGATATCCCGGTAAAAAGTTTTTCATGCATGAATATGTATAAATATATATAAACATACAGCAATTTTTTTACTTTTATCCAAACTTGTTTTTTTCTAAAACAATGCGAAAATTATCTCCTTAATTATTTTTTATATTTTCACAATACTATTATTATTTCTATTACACTAAAAAGTAATTTTACAAAAGAAAGAAAGATGTATGAACATGCATGGACATATTTCATATATAATTATACATGTTTATGAATATTTATGCATGTTTATGTATGTTTATACATATTTATACATATTCATATGCATAAAAAATTTTTTATATTATTAATAAATAATAATATTATAAAATTATATTAATATATAAACATTGTGCTTGTTTAGGTTTTTTTAACACGTGGGAAAGATGACCGTCAATTATTCCAACAATTTATTGAAAAACGTTCACGAAAATTTAGCCTTGCCAGAGAGCGGTGAAACATTCTTAGTTAAAGGAGATTACGAGTACTGGCACTATGGTTGCGATGGTTTTAATGATAGGGTGATTACGATTAATTAGGATATATAATCGTAATTAACATTCTCTTACGTATTTAATCATCAAAATAAATACATTTACATTTATTCAGGGTTGGGGGTGTGGATACAGGACACTGCAAACCATTTGTTCATGGATCATAAATAATGAGAATTTGGAAAAAATTGTACCAAGCATTAATAAAATACAAGAGACCCTTGTCGAAGTGGAGGATAAAGACAAAACATTTTTTGGGTCGAGAGAATGGATAGGAAGTTTCGAAGTAAGCTTAATTCCCTTAGCACATATTGGGGTTTTAAATGTAAGAAGATTTGACGGACTTGACATTTCAAACATTTTATAGGTATCGATTGTTTTAAATCAACTTTATGAAGCTCTTAACAAAATAATTTACGTGTCGAGCGGAAAGGGATTAATTGACCAAGTGGATGAGATTAAAAGACATTTCGAGCAATTTGGCAGTCCGATTATGATGGGCGGAGACAGGGATTGCTCTAGCAAATGTATAGTAGGATTACACGTTGGAAACAGAGGTGTGTATTTGTTAATTGTAGATCCACATTTTGTTGGAAAAGCAAAAAGTGCGGAACATTTAAAGAACGATCAGTGGGTGAAGTGGCAAAACTTGGATGATTTCGTCGACAGCTCGTTTTACAATATGTGTTTACCACAGCTTAAGTATCGCGAACTGGGCGATAAATGATGTTAATTATTTATACGAAATAATTATGTATTTTCGCTAAAAATTGTAATTTTGTATTACGCTGATCCTCGATATTCGATCGATAAATATTAAAAAATTGAACGTGATATTCTGTCTTTTCTTTTTTCATTTATTGTTATGTGATAAAAATTTATAGAATTATACATAATCCTTAAAATTACGACAGTTTAAAATAGCTTAATGGTCGTTCATTGTTATGCTATAATGAATACTATTAATTAATAGTATTAATTAATAGACGTATTAGTTATACGTGAAATATACTGAAGAATACAACGGTTCTTGTCTTTTTTTCATCGATCTCGAAGATCTTTAATCTGTATTTAACACTAGACAAACACCTTGAAGTATCCAATGGGAAATGTGTTCTGGAGTCGCCAAATTTGCCTCAAACACTAAACCAACACCGAGAGCATTTCGTCGATTTGACGTAGTATATACGGGAGTTTTAAAAGTATTCTGTAACAAGCGTAAAAATAAGAATTATCCATTTTACGATCTAGAAGTTCTTGACAAAAATTGCAGTTACTTGAAAATATTAATGATCAGTTAAATCGTTTTATTTGAATATTCCAATAAATAGGAAATGCCTTATTTGGTCTGACATGAGTTAGACTTTTGTGTTTAATAATATTAATGTGAATTTATTATAAGATCTGTTCTTTTTAGCTAAACTTCTTACACGGTTCATCTTTTCACCTTTTCTTTTTATATTGCAAAAAAAGAGAAAAAATGAACCGTTCAAAAAGTTCAGCTAAAAAAAAAGACCTATAGTTATACTTATTCTGTAAATTGCATACCGATTTAATTTTCAGTTTTGAAACACAATCTTAAACCGAAACTAGGATAGTAATATGAATTGAATTGCAAGTATATATGTTGTATGTATATAGAAGAAAAGGGACAAAGTGCAAAATAAAGATATTGCTTAATTAATTGAAAGAACTATAATTAATTAGTCCATTGATTAACATCAATAATAGTGTAATAAAGATGGCACAGGGATGAAAACGACCGCCCTGGGTACTACCTTGCTTTTCTACGTCACTATGTAGATCGACAAATTCAATACCTGTAACTTCAATCTATGAACTTCAGTAGGTATTATGGTTAATATTGGTAGCGCTTCAAACAGAACTTTCGGATGCGATCTTTGTAAACGATGCTCCTCGCTGTCCCACCTAGCGCCTTCCAGATACAATCCGTACACGTAACAGCCCTGTTTAAAACACGGATGGAAGAGTATAATGCGATATTGTTGCAATTTTAATAAAATATCGAAAAGTAAATGTCGTTGGGATTTGCCTCATCGGGTCTTTCTTCTACGTCGTCAGGCTTGAAAAACTTGGACACCGTCGTGTAAATAACGGAATGATCGAGGGGCCAATTGTTCTTGCGGCAAGTCATTTGCACCAGAGCCGCCAGATAAGTTTCTGGAACGTGTAATCCGGACAACCACAGTACCACGGGTTCATTAGCGCCAGACTAACAGGGAGAAAAAATAGACATTATTAATTGCGAAGAGATTAACGCATACCTCTTACAGAAATTTTATTTGGAAGGTGTGTAATGATTAATTACTTATTTTGAGTATTAAAAGTGCTGCACTAATAATGGGAAAAATTTCTGATTGAAAATAAAAGAACCCCAGGAGGTTGTGATCGCCAATCAGAAACCTAGTTATTTTAATTAGAATTATAATAGATTCAACCAGGAAATTCTGATTTGTCCATTTTCAACCAGAATTCTAATTAATGCAACTAGACTCTTTTTCTCAGTATGTAATTCAGCTTTTAATATTAAAAATGAGTAATTAATTACTCTCTTTATCTTTCAGTAGTAAATTGGCCAAATTAAATTTCTGTATGGGATATAACATTTCGCTAATCATACCCAGTTCGTGTATTGATTTATCCTCTTCTGAAAATGGTCCATCCAACCGGCGAGATTTTTTCGCGTGTCTGGTGCCAATTTGGTCCATTCTTTAGGTAGCATACCGTTATAGAGTGCCATGGAAATATTCTCTAGCACTGCGTCCATTCCAATCTCACCAGCGATGGCCTATAATTTTATTTTGGATATCAAACGCGTTCTTAATTGACAATACCCTAAAACAAATTCTCATTGCACATATTTTTAAGAATTTTTTACATTTCAAATTTATATTATTATATTACAAAAAGTTTGAAACTCATCTCTTCCTTAAATCTAAGACAAAATAAATTTCTCCTTTATTATTAACTGCTTCTCTTAATATAAATATAGAACAAAATAATTGCATAAAGTTATCATAAAAAAGTAGAATTTTAATAAAGGTGGTATATAAAGATTAATAAAAATAATAAAAATGCATCTTGTGTAGAATTTGTACGTATAATTAATTAATTATTAAATGATTAAATAATTAAATTAAATCTGTGCATTTAACAGATTGAAATCTCGAAGTTTTAGTGACCTTTCTTAATTGATTCAACGTTCTCGTAATCGTTTCTATTAACTTGTTGAATCTTTCCAATTCCTGAAATAGAACGACCGCGGTCGGTGTTACGCCAACGCCGAAATTTCTCTTGACCTTACTAATATCGTATGGCGTGGGTATCTTGGTCAAGATTTCCTTCGCTACGTTATCGATAAACTCATCTTTGCTGACACCGATGACGTTCACGGCTAAAGAATTTAACGTCATTTTAATTATAACGACATATCATTATAATTTATTGGAAAACGCAATAAACCCGAAAGTGCGACTTACTCTTTTTATCCAAGCGAGAAGCTACAAACAGTTTTTAAATATAATATAAAATAAAAAATTACTTAATTGAAAATCATTAAAATACAGTTTTCTCCAGAAAAAGCATGGCAATAAAAATGACATAATATTAATTTAATTTATTTAACATTTAAGTAAATTTATTTTTAGTATATTTGGAAACTCGAGTTAAAAAATTTATATTTTAAAGTATTTATAATAATTCCTCCAAGTAGATTAATTTATATTTAAAAAACGTTTAGCGGAATCTCTTTTATGGTGTATAAAAATATTAACTATATACTATTATTAAATCATCGAAATGTCTCATATAAAACGGTATTTTTAACGATAATAAAAGATAAACGTTATGAATGTCTTATAAAACATTTTTATGACATTTATTAAACGTGTTTTTGACGTAACTGTTGCGCTTAGATTACGTCATAATTTTGCCATATGATTATTACGATAGTTATTACAGAAACAGTGTTTGATAAGGCAAGAAAAATATGTAATTACTCGCACCGGTTTGCGGTTGAAGTTCTATGAGATGCTTCCACATTCCTTTAACTGCCTGCGTAAAGTATCCAATCTCGGCGTTTGAATGTAGCCCAAATATTTCGGGACCGTTCACCAGCGGAAGTTCTTCAATGAATTGCAAGTAATCGTCGCGATTTCCTTCTGGCGGTATCACATAGTCGACAATATCGTCCTTGTAAAAGTGAAACGGTTGGTGCTCGTTAAAGAGAAAATCACCGAAATACTCGTCCATGTAAGTGTAAGAAACGCGACGATCGTAACTGTCCATCACTCTTCCGCCGTACATTACCTGATTATTTTTGAGCATACAATAATTTGCATTCAAAATTTATACGAAAAAGAAACTCAGGATGACAATAAAAAATAGATATATATTCTAGACCAAAAGTTTGGAAACACTTTTTAAAAATTAACCTATATATATGTATGTCTAATTCTTTTGTCGTCGTCCTAAGTATTTTTAGTATAAATTTTAGAAAGTGTTTCTAAACTTTTGGTCTAGAATATATATCCATTTTTTGCGTCTGGAGTGTATATAAATTAACTGAGAGCTTATATTACACTTTCAATTTACTATTAAAAAAGGAATGTAGATTGCAGAATCAAACATACTTCGCCAATTAAATATTTGAGGCTATTCCACGGTACTTCAGACTCCTTCGTCGCCATTTCCTTCGTCAAATAAGTGTTCAAGATGGTAATGCACACATTAAAATCTGACTCGTTGAAGTCGTATTTTAAGTTCCATCCAATTTTACCGTACTTTCTTCTCTCCTGCAATGTTGAGAGCACTTTAGTAAAAAAAATTACTCTGAGGATTAAACATGCAATCACATTAAATATTTGCTTGCCTGGATAACTGCGTGATAAAATGCTAGAACATAAATTAAATGCTTGTAGAGAGGATGAGAACAACTTTCCAAGACCTGTGGCCGCATGTTAAAGTACGTGTTTTGCAAGTTTAGCTTCAATCCACTCGGTGGTTCCGTCACCACTGCAAATAAATTTTGTTCAAAAATATGATATATAACTTTTGGAATATAATAAGTATTCTACCTTTTAAAGATTGTTGAAGTATTCCGATTGGAAAATTAGGGGTGGGTTCCGTAGTGAGCCACAAGCGAAAATCGGGATGAGGCTTCTCTATGTTCTCCACGATCTTTTCTAAATTCTTCGTGAAGGACAACAGTAAATGGCAATTCTGGAACATCAGCCATTGACCTCTTGTTTTTGCCGTTCCCAATAATTCCATTGCGATCTATTAAACAAATAATTTTTAAAAGGCAGTTAAATGCAACTTTTTTAAAATATAGAAAATTAATGTTAATTGTTCACTCAATCGATGTTATTTTATACTATAAGACAAGTTTGTCCAATTTGAGCTCCGGAGCTAAAAGGCAAAACCATTGACGCAAAAAAATTCAATATGAGTAAGATTTTAGGAACTATAAAGAGTTGATAAGCGTCATTTAGATCGTATCAACACTTTACAATCCTCGAAATTTTACTCACATTGAATTTTTTTGCATCGATGGCTTTGCGTTTTGGTTTCGGAGCTCAAATTGGACAGGCCTGTTATAAAAAATATTGAATATCAAGTCAGTACGAAGTTCAAATAACACATTACGTTAAATTAATATTCAGATATGTTTAAAATTTCTACGCAAAAATGTTAACAAGAACTAATTTTAACATAAGTACAAAATGTTTGTTATTGTATATCTTACTTTTTCTTGGCTCTGACCGAGCGAGAGATATCTAAATTTGCCTCCGCCGCAACCGTATCGATCAGCCAACTTCATCAGTTCTGAAGTGGGATCCGAACCCGGGCTTAAGATGAAGACTACTGGCATGGTCGGTGTACTTTCTTCGAAAATCATGTCGAAGCTCACGTGAGGCGGCGTAATGTATTGCTTGCCCATAATTTCGATAATGTAATTGATAATACCACGATATACGCGATCGATTCGAAAACAGCGTATCAACATTAGCTTTTCGAACGATGTCATTCGCGTACTATAATCACACGGAAGTTCTTCAGATTCTGGTGTATCCGAGTCGTACCACTGAAACGGATAATTAATTATCTAAGTAATCACTTTTCTCAGTAGAATGTTCTTTTTCTGTGTGTATGAAAAAAATGGAATATTTTTAAATAAAATTCAAAATTATTATTTCCACTATAGTTTTGTGCTAAAATTTACGACATTAAATTATTTGCGTAGTCACTGTTTTGCATTTTTAGTTTACCTTCTTCCATTCATCTTCACAATCTCGTATTTCTTCCGGAAGTTGTCCGAACTTCTCTGGGAAATCGCTCGCCAACTTGAGAACATCCTCCCAACCCGATAACGGCAGCCATTTGGTAGGATTCGATTTGGATACTTTTTCTAGAACCACACTGCCCTTGATGAAGAATTCTAATTGCTTCTGGTTCACGTTGCCCAAGTTCTGTTCTATCTTTACGCAAGTTTGCAGGGAAAAGAGCAATTTGTGCCGCGCGAAGATACCAGTGCAGCCGTAATCGTAGACATTCTTCGTTAACATTGGAATAATATTTTTCAGTCGTTTAGTGACCACTGGATCCGGTAACGATCTCTTCAGCGAGTGGGTGAACACCTCAATGTAACTGATCAGAGAGTATTGATACATGGCATTTACGGTGGCCATGTCGGCCAGCACGGAGAATAGAATTGCGCCCCGTTCCGCTACCGGACGATAGTTTTCGCGAAGTTTGTTGATGTCGACAGAAGTGATTTCCGCGAGCAACAGCTTCTTCGTTACTTCATTGGCGCTGGACTTGATGTTTTCCAAGGTCTCGATCAGCTCGATGTTATCCACCATGCTACCTTGATCCGCGGCAATCTCGCGAAGAAGACTATCTTCCAATTGCTGCAGCAGATTCTTATTCTCGCTAGTTTCCAAAATCAGCGTTTCACGTTGTTCCTCGATGTCCGGTCTTTCAGTTTTCACCACTACTGACAGAAGTTGGTTCTCCAAACCCTGAAGAAAAGTGAGAATTTATTGTACAAAACTTAAATTTGATATATTTACAGTTTTTTAAATTAAAGAAAAATTATTGTTTTCTTGAATAAAATATAATTATAATATAATTATAATTATATCGAAAACAAATGTTGAGAAACAGAAAACTTGTAAATTAATGTTCTAATAACATATATTAATTATGACTTAGCTCATTAATTATGATGTGTCATAATTGTAATGAAGTTAACTCACTGCTGTAGTGACCATGTAATTGATGACAACCGCCTTGGCATATAAAGCGGGATCTAGCATCGGATTGGTTATTTTTGTTGTCAAATATATTCTGAATCGCGGATCATAATCTATCTCTTTATCGCCGAGAATGACGAAAGTTCGTCCTGCAACAGCTACAAAAATCAAATCACAACAAGTTTTAAGTTTTTACGAACTGCAATTATATATATCGATTCATGAATATTGAATTCATTTAAATTGTATAACTTACTCTGGATATTTTTCGATAAGACGTTAGCCAAGATGGGATCAATCTCGTCGGCATCTTGAACGAGCACAGGCAGACCATATTTGATTGCTAATTCAATTTGCTTCAAGAAATCTGCGTCCGTAAAGGAGAGGATCTTTAAAGTCTTTTTCTGCTCTCTTTTCTTGATCCAATTTAATGCTTGTTGTTGGGGATCAATACAAAGCGGAAATCTAGATGCTTTCAGAGTTAGTATGCCGTTTTGTACGGATAGCTCGTCTGGTGGAAGACCTTCCGAGTTCCAACTGCAAGTTACATCAAATATTAGAAGCACAGTGTTTATGTCGCTAAGCTACACGAATATATTTGTTAGAAAAAACAGAATAGCGATTACTCATACACCACAGAAGCTAGTTCAGCTTTACAGCAACAATGCAATGTTACTGTAATCATGTTGAAACGTTTCAATGTTGCTGCAATATTGCTGGAATGATCTGTGCCACGTGAATAATAACAATAATTGTTAACCCTAATTAGTATTTGTAAGTCCAGCCTTTTTTTCAGTTATTCGTTAAACTTTGTGAAAAATTATTTATATCAAATGTTTTTCAAGACCTTGCATAATTTTAATTAGATAATTTTATTTCTTAAATTTTGACCTTCAAAATATGTATTAAAAAAATTGTTCAATTACGTTGCGAAGGTACTCTCTAAATCCTTTGAAGAGATTTATTCCAAAGAATGCATCAAGTTTTGTCAGCTATATTGAACTCGCGAATATCAGTTAAGGAAATTTCGAATACTAATTAGGCGATTAAAACTGTCTTTGCATGGCATTTTTTTTTACTTCTAATTTTTAGAACTTTAATGACATTTGCAAAATTTTCATTTTAATCGATAGATAAAGAGAAAAATTATATAATATTTAATTATGTAGTGATATATCTATGTGCTGTATGAATATGCAGGAGTCTCGTTTACTTGGTAATTTCGATGTCGTCGCTCAATTGTATTTCGAGCTTGAAGGGCGTTGATAAAGGTAATTCCTTGTCTAGGATGCTCCTCTCCCAGTCGCTGTACATTTCATTCCTGAACTCGTAGGAAAAAGGACCGCTATAAGCCAGAAAGGATGCTCCGAGCAAACAATTTCCTGTGATCTTCTCCAAGTCGTCTTGAAGAACCTCCAGATCCTTTCGCCATCGTTCATTCTCGGAGGACAATCCGGAGATGAGTTTGTCAGCAGCCGAAAGACGTCGTTGTAACAAATCTGTTTCATCCTGAAGACTCTGTCGCTTAGTCATCGCGACGTCATATTTCTCGTTTAATTCTTTGATCGTTTCTTCCAATCGCTTTAATTCCCGTTCTTCCTTTTCTAACGCGCGCCTGGCTTTTTCGGACTCCGCTTCGAGTGCTTGAACTCTGTCCATCTTTGGTTTCACCTGAAACGACAAATCAAAAGTAAAATGTTAGCGTAGAAATTTATATAATTAACATTTGACTGTCGTACAGTTTTTTATAATTAGTCCCCTTATAAAGACTTTATGACGAGTAACATATTCTAACTAAAGTATTGTTGAAAGAAATATCTTTAATGATTTAATATTAAATATTATTTGTTGAAATATTTATAGTGCAGGGTTTACAACGTCGATTCTCACTAGTTAAAATTTTTTCTTTTTTATCGTATTAGAATTTAGGGAATTTCATTTGTATTTTAAATTATTGGTAGTATTAATTTAGTATAGTATTTGTTATATATGTTGAGGACTTAAACCGTGATAAATCTTTAAATAATGAAGAATAGAAAAGATCGAAAGAAGAAAAAAGATTAAAAGAAAAAAAAATGAATAAATAAGAAATGAACAAATAAAGATATAAATAAATAAAATTAGATTTTAGGCAAAAGTTAACAGATGAATTGTCAATTAAAGCTTACAAAATAATGTAATAAATACCTCTCTATAAACGGCACAATAATCCAGAACAGCAAGCACAAACTTGTATAAGCCGTATCCTGCTTTACTGATGACTTGCATCTGATCCAGCTTATCCGTCTTCTTCAAATGCGCCCTTACCGCTTGTTGTTGCCGTAGAGTGATCAAGTCGCAGTTCATCTCCTGTAAGTGCCTCAAGAAATAAGGATCGCTCATCATGCCTTTTGCCCCTTTCCACGACACGTCTTTGACACCACGAAGCATCGCAACGCATTCCGAAACAATCTGCACTGGTTCGGGCGGAGTGGGAAAGGATCTGAATAGTCATTACTGATTTTTAGCAAGTTTGAAGATTAATATCTTTTGATTAATACTCTACTAGGCGATTTTCTTCACTTTTTTAAAATTCAATGGATCGTTGATAAATATTAGAAATATTAAAAAATTTTAGAAAGGACCGAATTCACAGAGTACCTTTGATAAACTTCAAAAACTACCCATTATTAAGATTTATGTTTATAAATATCTTTTGTTTGTCACATTACAAGCTATATTACATGTAAATATAAACGTATTTTATCGGTCCTTTAAATAGATGAATTTTATATAATATAATACCTATATAAATAAAGAAAAGTAGTAATTAATCCAGAATGAACCTTATCTCGGTAATATCCGCTTTATCGAGGTCACTCAATGCAAGTTTGGCCGCATCGAGAGCCGGTCGAGCCTCCGCTAAGGCTTGCTTAGCTTCCGTTTCTTCTTTGATAATCATTTTCTTCTTATCCTCAATTTCCTTCCTCTTGTCTTCTCTCAGAGTCTTCTTTTCCAACTCGATGTCTGTACTTTTGCCGATAGTCTCGAGCAATTGTTCGCAGTTCCTCGTTTGATCATTTACTTTGATTCTTTGCTCTGCCAAGACTTTATTTAATTCTGTTAAAGTCACCGAAGCGTCTATGATTTTCTGTAATCCTATAAAAAAATTTATTAAAGAAATATTGTCAAATTTATTGACTTCATATTTTATTAATGAAGAAATATAATAAAAAATAATTTCATATAAGAGATTTTTGTATAAAAGATTTTGCAACTACCTCCGGAAAGACGCGTGCAGCGCGAATTTATGAAGTTCTTCTTCTCCACCAACAGATTCAAATAAGTGTTGATAAAATCCATAAAATGCCATGGCGTGACATAATTTCGTCGCCTCAGCTTCGTCGCAAAGTTCACTGTATATTGTAATACGGATGTATGCACGTATACAATATGACTTACGATCACTTCCTTGTACTCTCGCGGCACGATCGGATTCTGAAAGAAAAAGATCTCTCATTTCACATTGGAACATTTCAAGTAGAACAAAATATCATTGTAATATCAAAATGGTGTCAAAGTGTCTTCAAAATGCTTAAAAGTCACTTTTCGATCAGTCACGATTTATTATGATTTTATTTTGATCTTATTCTACTTGGGTTTCTTCGTCCTTTTATTTTTTTGCTTACGTCTCTGAGTAGAACATTCGCTACCGCTACCAAGGCCTGCTGCGGCCACGGGAACATCCAGTCTATAGTGGTGTTGTTGATTAAACCGGGATAGTTGCGACAGCGTGTCCGTAAAGCATCGCCCGATGGACTCATCGCCAACGCTATTCGTAAATTCGCGGTGCATGTCTTAGCGAAATACGACCAGACGCTCTTCCTAAAATAAAAAAAATTTTATTTTAACACTAAAACATTAGCTCTGCCCAAAGCACTTTTTTACTTAATTCGATTTGTTCTCTCACAAGAGATTTAATTGAACTATCATAAATTATTTGTGTTTAAGGTGTATATAGATTATAAATATTTTTGCATTAAACAAAATGTACAAAAAACTTACATTACATTAATTAAAAGTAACTTATTTCCTTGTAAGTAGAATTTACTATCAATATAATAATATATTGTATCATTTAATATTATCGACAGCCTTCTAGGATTAAACATGTATTTCAAGAATTTCAAAATAAAGTCGTGTAAAGTGGACAAACAGCTTACTTTGATATATCAAAGCCTGCTTTAACCGCTGCATCTCTGCAGGAAGAGACAATTGTGTCTTTCTCTTCATCGTTGAAGAGAGCCGGCACGAAACCTGTCAACATGCTGTTCACCAATTCGAGGAAGCTTTCGTCCTTAATGTGGGCAGATGTGAACATAAACACAATCTTTTTATTTTCTAGGCCGACCATATTATACAAATTCTTTATATCTTCGCGGAAGAACGCTTCATTGTATCCGCGACGCAGAACGATCTGAAAGAGTTGATAACCAGCAGCGAAGGATGCTAACTTGATCACGGATTTCTTGCCGCTGCCACCCGTACCGATGATCAGTACGTGACCGCAGTGCATCCGAAGTGCACGATGCACTCTGGTCAGATGTTCGAGCGCGTCATTGAAGAGAACCATGTGCAGCTTAGTTCTGTTCCTCTCGTTGTATTCTTCGAAAATCTGTAGGTAGCATAAAGACATTTTTTAAATATATATTCAATAATTAATTTAATTCTCTGGAGTTGGCGTTAAATTCTGTCACACAATTACTGGATCTGTGACATTTATGTTGACTAAAAGACACTAATTAATTTCAAGGAACCAAAATGACATAACTCATATATAAAAGAATGTGTATGAATATTAATAAGTTTATTTTAATAACAATGATTTAAATTTGCAGTTGTAGATGAAAGATACAATTAAGTGGAATTTTAATAGAACCCACTTAGTTCCAGGCTAAACAACGATGTTGCTTGAATAATATTTTAGATAGGAATATTAATGTAACACAGAAAAATAATTAAAAAATATATATTTAAAGAAAAAGCTTGACCTCTAGAAACAAGCTGTAAACTGCTTCATAATCTAACAAATCCTCATACAATCTAGGCTCATCTTCACTGAAGGCATTCCTGAAATCGCCATACAGTATCGGGTCTCTTAAACTGTATTGAATCACTTCAGGTTCTAGCTCCCAATAATTTCGTATTTTTTCATTCAATTGCTCGATTACTAAATTTTTATCCTGGAATAGCAAAATTATTTTAAAAACGAATCTTTAATTTTTCTCTAATTATCAATGTATACCCCAGATATTCCCCATACCTTATAAACTTGTAAATGTATAAATATTATTTATATACATTATTGTATTTAGCGTAAATTGTGTGTTGTGTTTGACAATTAAAAACTTCTTTCATTTAGCTTTACTTTTAAAAAATGTATAAAATATTATTAATTTAAATTCATTTAATTGTAGATCACAAAAAAACAATGGAAATTAAAATGTAATGTTGAGATGTCAGAAATATTGTACGCGAATAATTACGTTGGAAAAAAGCCACGCGACTATAATGTAAGATTAATGTACAAGAAAAAAAGGAGAAGACTTATTACTTGCACGCTAATGAGGCGATCGCATATAACTCTGGTGACCTCGTTTCTCCAGAGCCTAACAAACTGTTTTACTGTTACGAAAAAGAAATCAGGATAGGTCTGAAGCAATCCAGCCATGATTCTTGAGAGATCCCGCATGTTGAAAATATAGTGGAACTTGGACGGAGTCGGCAGTAGTTCCTTCCTAACTATCTGAATAGCATTATGTTGTTAATATACGTATCTCACTTAGAGAAATAATGCTATACGTAACGTGACGCAAAATTACCTCGTAAAGTTCCAACGTCAATTGCACAAGTTTGTCCGAGATAGATAGAATTGCCTCCGAAAATGTTTGCAGATGTCCGGATAAAATACTCGTGTAAATATAATTCAGAGTCTCGTTCGTTGGAAAAGTTACGTTATAAACTGAGAACATTGAGATAAATCGCGGATCGACTTCGTTCCTACCACCACCGGGTTCTCCCATAGCTGCTAAATAATCTACAAACAGTAAAAAACATTTTTTACAGCGACCAATTAATTAACATAAAAATAATGTGTTTAAAAATGTAAATTCTAGGATGAATGAATAAAATGTGTTAATTTTACATATTATAAACAATTAATTTTACTAAAGAAATATGCTTCCACAATTTATTTACAAACTGTGTCAATATTACACCTTCTATGTTAATTTTTTACATAATATTTGTGTTACTTCTTAACATTCATTTCGTGTTAAATTAACACAAAGATTTATGTAATTTGTATGAAATGAGTTAAATTTAACACAAATTTTTAACTATGTTATAAAAAATATATTCGCGCGTGACATAAGTCTTCAATTAATTAAACCTATTATAAACGTATATTAAATCCTCGATGTCGATAAATGATGAAAAATTGATAAAATTGTTGATAGGAAAATAGGCCTCTTGTTTTTAAAAAAGCATTTTTGATATATTTGTTACTTCCTGAACATACTTACAAATATCTTTCATATATTTCCAGTTCAAATCGCGCCCGCGATCATAAAAGCCATCCCTTTCAAATAATAGTTTAAGAAACGCTATGGGCTGTTGGGTTCCATAAATATCCACGATTGGCATATTCATGTCGTCGATAAAGACTATTAATTTCTTTCCGGGCGGAGCTCCGAATACTTCTCTCGATCTTTTCTCTACTACCGATTCGATATTCCTCTGCACGTCCATTGAAGTGGTTCTCGAGGAAAAGTTTATTAAGAGTTGTTCCTATTTGTCACATATATATATATATATATAAATTGTTGATAAATATAAAATTTTCGTATCTTATTACATCGTTTTCTTTCATACGTGTATTACATTATATATTTTATTGGAAAATTATTTGAATAAAACACATAGTGTTTCAGAAGGATAGGTCAATATTTTGGAAGATGATGGTATTGATTATATTAACTAAAAAAGTTCATATAAATGTGTGTTCTATTCCGAACGGTTTTCAAAATTTCCAAGCAAAAATTTATATAAACTTTATATGAACAATTTTACTTAAAATAACAGACCATCATAATATTGACATTTTCTCTTGAGACACCCTGTATAAAAAACAATTACTAATTAAGTTAATTTCTTCAATATTGTTTTATTTACGTATTTTTCGGGATTCAAGTTCCTTAAAAACTCATGAATTATCGCCGTTTTCGACGTGCTAGTTTCTCCAACCAACAATACCGGTCTCTGCAGATTGTTCATGAGATTTATGAACCAGGTAGTACGCAAAGTATCAATTGTTTGCACTAAAATGTCCGAAAGGTTCTTCTGTCTGTCATGAACATACATCGGTACCAACCACTTCCATGCCATCCAAACCTTTTTTTTGATATCCAGTACGTAGTCGTAGATAGTTGGAAAAGATACGGGTATAAATTCTGAGCAAACATGCACATTCATTTTTTAACAAGCAAAAGAAAAGGTACATTAATTAGATCTTGTTAAATTTATTTAATTTCCGTATTAATTAATTTACTTATTTCTATTGAGCTTACTGGCGGTCGCTAGTTTAGCGGGTGTGTCTTGCACTAACATAAATCCACATATTTTCTTTATGTACTCATCAAATTTGGAGCGCGCCTCGTCTACAATAGATGCACCGAATGACCAATAGCACGCTTGAATGTACATTGCCTCCCAGAGCTCCTCTTTCGTCACCAACAAATTGTCCTCTTCATCGATTTCTGATTTTTGTTTTGCCAATTCATATTTTAATGTTGACAATAAACCATCAAATACGAAGCAAAATTGAGTTACCTTCGGAAACCATGCAAAAAATGTTATTAATAAAATACGATGCACAGTGAAAAACATTTTGTATTTGTATTAGAGGCCCTCTGTCTTCTTAATTAAAAAATTTATGAGTAAATAAACAAATAACATAAAAATAATATTTTTTTTAATGTGAATTCTAAGATAAATAAATATAAAATTAATTTAACATATTATCAATTTTAATTTTAAAGAAATATGATTACAAATTGTATCAATGTTTAATTAAGTAAAACAAATCCTATTTAGGCTAAAATGGATTTTAGTGCTTAAATAATATATTCTGTGTAAATTTATATACATATCCAATTCTGCAAACCGTGCTCCGAAATTTTTTTTCAATCTTGAATATAATGATGAACAGAACTAGAGTAATAATATCATATATTAAATTGACAAACAATTTAATAATATTGATGCTAATAAGCATTTTTAATAAATATCTTTTATTTACTTAAGCATTGAGATCCAAGCAGTGAAATACCGAATGTAAGATTCCTCTTACTTTATTAGATTTATTTTCTTCAGTCTAATTTCGTATTATAATTGTGTCAGTAATTAATTTTTACATCAATGATGCGCAATCTCTTTATTACGACTACAATCATAATTATCTACAAATCAATAGTCAATTTAGTAGTTACCATATTGAGTCCAGTTTGCGGTATAATTGTCCGAAGAGGTTCGACTGTTTGAAAGCTTAACGTTCCTTCGGTAATAAGCTTAAGTGAGCCGTGTACGTATTTCTCGCACATTCCTCGAAGAAAATCTTGATCGGCTTTGCTTTTGGTTTGTATCCACTTGTCCATATACGGCTGGTAGCCTAGACTTTTTGGGTCTACATAGACCATACCCGCTCTTGAAACCGTTGAAGGTGAAGCGTACTGCAAGTCGCCTACCTTTAGCACAAGGATCAATTTATTTTTTAACAAAGTGTCTAGATCTTCAGAATTATTAAAAATGTCTACATTTTTCTATAATTTATTAAAATGGACTTTGGTGGTACAGGATAAGAGACTTGTAGTGTCTCTTATCTCTTATTTTTTTTATTTTTGTACATGGCCGGAGCCACTACCGCGTCTCCTGATAACGTTATTATCCTTAATTCTTTTTTCATTGTAATTTGTTTCAAAACTATTATTAATTCATTATTAAATCGTAGTTATATTATATTTAGGGTATAATTTTTATACAAAAAGCGACACTAAAATTAGTTACAAACAATGCCTCCTATTGCCTTTATGCTCATATTTGTTTGAATGCCGTCTTATTCAAAGATCAAATTAATTTTTCTAAATTGTTCCTCAATTCAATAGTCGATATTATATTCACATTAAGTTACCTCAAAGAGCAGACTGCAATAATTCTGCAATTTGATCCTCTCTTGATTGGCCAGAGTCAATAGCTTGTTATCATCCATTACCGAGTTCATGTTTTCGATCCACAATGCATCAACATCTCCGTCGAGAAGTATGTATCTTCGTTCATCTTTGCTGGAATCCAGCGGTCGATTAATTTCTCGAAAGATACTACTCAGAAGACCATCCGTCCAATCTCGTGTTGTAGGTTCTAGCTTTCCATACAGCTCGATGACAGTGCAAGCCTTTAAAAATCATGATGATAAAGAATTTTAGAATAAAATTTAACAATGCTACTGTTATAATTAATTATTATTCACACCTTAGGGTTCAAAATGTGCAATTTTGTGGGTTTACCAAGATGCGTCTGTGCTCTGCAGAGCGTTTCGACGATCACTGTCTTACCACCGCCGGTGGGACCGATAATCATCGTAGAATGTCTAGTCATCATCATTTCGTATAACTGAATGACTTTATCAACCTAGGCCGAGTTATTATGTTTTTTATTATTTTTGTTAATTTAAAGTCTATAACTATAATAGCTAAATATATATGTATACATGGAAGGAACGATTTTGCTAAAGTATCAAAAAATTTAGCTAGACAGATCTAAAAAAATAATGTTGTTGACTATCCAAATTATTACATAAAACGTTAGCTTAATAAACGATATTGCAAAAAATTTTGACATTCTAGTTTGATTGTTTTACGTAATTATTTTTTCGTCTAACAAAATTATTTTCTATATCTAACTATAAATCTATATCTCTTATCAATTTCTAGCTAAATTTTTATCTCAACAAATTAAGTTTAGTATTAAATACTTTAGCAAAACCTTCTTCCATGCAATACGTTAAAAATCTGGAGAACACTATTTACTTGCTCAGGTAAAACAATATAGCCATATTCTTTTAATATCGCCTCAACCGCTTCATTAAAATCTGGATAGTGCATCCTGGGGCAATCCAAGTCAGGAAAGAGATCCTTGATCAGACCCAGGAAGAGCGGCACGTCGTCATATATAAACTTAGGTAAGTTCGTATCTCTGAGGGCTCTCATCAGCACGACGTTTTCAGGTAAATCATTGGAAGTTCTCTTCAACTGGCCGGCCATATTAAGCACAGATTTAAGGGACCTCAAGCCAAAATCATAGTGTGTTTGTTTGCTCAGCTGTTTGCTCGCCAGCTTATAGAGAACGGTCATCTTCTTCGCGAGCAACTTTGCCGTCAAAAAACCGGCGCTAAAAAGCTTAATCTGACAGATTAGCTCGTTATCCGGCACTATGCAGACTACTGGTCTAAAGAGGGCTTTAACAGACTCTGGTAACTCCGTGCGACCGGCGTATCCTGGATTCATGGTGATGAAGACTCCCACCTTCGAGTCCAATACGATATCTTGGTCCTCGAACTTTTGGAGAATATTTTGGTTATTATAGAATATAATATACATGTACTCAACAGAAACAGGAATTTATATTTAATAAAAATTTATTTATATTTATCATATATAAAATAATGGAGAAATTAATATGATCATATTTGATAAATATATATTTATTTAAAAAATCGAGAATAGTATAGATTTAAATTAGAATAAAATATAACTTTACTACAGAAAAGTAAAAATAGAATATCAGGCACGAACATATATTAATATTATAAAATACTCTTCTTTATATATATTAAAATTATTCTATTAATTCATAAAAAAATGTTAATATAATTGTGACTATAAATAACTCGTATTATTCCCGGCTCTTCGTGTTTTTTAGTTTAATAAAATATATACCCTGAATCTTTGAGCTTTAACTTGCAGTGCTGAGCGTATAGTTTGAAGCTGGGTCGAAATAACAGAGAGAACGGAACTGTCGATTCGATTAAATTCGTCGAAACAACCCCATGCTCCACACTGAGCGAGACCACTCAGAGTCTTTCCAATCGTGATATAGTCCATTCCTTCGCCGCAATTAGTTACGATACATAAGAGCCCTAGAGCTTTCGCTAAATCTTTGACTGTCTCAGTCTTTCCGGTTCCAGCAGGACCTTAGTGTTAAAAATTAAGAAAACGCAGTTTTATAAACTGTTACTTAAACCATTAAAAAATTAAAACTGGTAAATTAAAAGTATTTGCGCTGATATTTTCGAATTCCACGTAATGTTTCACTTTTTCCAATATATCTTTGTATTTATAATTACAGTATAATTTCTACAGTATAATTTGTTTTATCGTGGCTAGACTACATTTAATCGATTTAGTCGATGAGAAGCTGTTATCTTGAGACATTTGCAACTTTGTCATGTGTATCACGTACCCGCTGGTGCACCGCCTAAGTGCATTGACAGAGCTTGCGTAATAGTGAGATATATTCTGTCCGTCAGTGGCGTAATGACCAATCTGCCATTAAGACCCATATACTCGTAACCGTATTCGAAAGTGCCTGTGCATTGGTTCATCCATACATTGTCCAGATCATGAACCCAGTAAAATCTATATACGAAAATACTCCGCCGTAGATTACAATAATTGTAAAAATAATAGTACTTTTATATAAAACATATTTATTAATTTTTAATATTGTTATGACTATCAAAATTATATTATTTAATATAAAAAAATTAAAATTGTATTATTAAAAGATTTGTATTGTTTAAATTGTATTGTTGAAAGCTCGTATTGTTAAAACACTTGTACTGTTAAAATTCGGTAAAGGCTACATATTTTTACATATAAAAAAATTACCTTAATTGGCTTTCCCATTCGAATTCTGTAGGATCCGCAATACTGTCTCTAACAAAACCTTCGACAATGTCGCGAATATGCACGTCGATGGTCAAAACCATATCAATCTTCTTTCTATCATTATTTGTAAGCGAACCGGTACCCATCAATGTCACCACTTCATCCAGTTGAGTATTGAGTTGTTGTAAATACTACATACATAAAAAAGAAATACTTTTTTATATTTAATAACAAATGATAAAACATGACGCAAATTGTATTCACAATTTGCGAGCATTACTTCTTTCATAGCGCGTTTATTTCCCTGGGATATCTTATCGAAAACATTCTCGACTTCTGCGGTCCACCATATCTGATTGGCTACGAGAACCATCATTCCTTGAAATTCGAGTATCCACTGAGTTCTTGGTCTTCGCACCTACGTTTATAAAATAGTGAAAGTTATTATATACAATTTCGAAATAAAAGAATATTTTAATTTGTCAATTAGTTATTACTTTAAAGTGATATATTAAAGGTTAACAAAGAAAATATGAGATGTTTTAGAAAAATGTTTTTTTGAAGAGCAAATGAACAGAAGTAACGTCCGATAATTCAATATAAACCTTGCCGTAATTGTAGACCGCTTTCTTTGTTAAATATCGATTCGATCTTTTCATTTCTTCAAGAGCCAGCCCCATCCAGATTTCAATCTGATCTTCTGTGGACACGGGATTTCTGAAATCCATAACTTCTCTTTCGCAAGATACGAGAGCTGTAGCCATCTGTCTATCTGTGTCTGATACTATTATGAATTTATCGAGATTATCGAACATCTTTCCTACGTGTTCCTGAATTGCCGTAGGAGTACCACTGCCAAGAATGCTCAGCAGTTCATCGTCGCTAATGAAATTGAATCTTGGAAATATAATGCGTTTGTTGTACAAATATTCCGTCAAAGACTTTTGGCACTTCTCGAGGGCTGCTATCATAGTTTCAAACTCACTCTTTCGACCTAATATTTAACAAATAAGTAAATAATTATTTTTTTTATTTTTTCTAATTTATTTTATATTTTATGTATATTTCTTATATGTATATTTCTTATATATCTTTGAAATTTTCTTGGTGACAATTTTTTCTAAAATTCTTCATATATTTTTTCAAAACTTTTATATATACCTTATAATTAAAAAAAATTTTTTAACTTTTTATACGAATTGGAATAATCTGTTTAGAAATGTAAAAAAATCTAGATCTTTTCTAGAATTTTTTTATACATATTTGTGAATTCTGAAATATTCTAAAATTTCTCATTTTCCAATCTCTAGAATAAAGTCTGAAGGAATATATGGTATTTTTCAGAAATCTTCATATTTTATTTAAAATATGAAAATTCTTAAAAATATATTATACTAATTTTTTTTCAATTAGATTAACTTTAATAATAAGACAAGTTAATTCTCTTCAAATACCATAAATCAAGCAACATTCCAAAACATTGAGCCTCTTCGACGTGTCAGTCATGATTTTTCGGTAAGCTTGATCGATATCATCGAATCTTTTTGTTTCGTCCGGCAACTGAAAGCGAATATCGCCACCCACGAAAATACCCTCGAGATACAGCCACTTTCGCTGAAGATCCACCCACACTTCCAGAACTTCGGAGATCGTATGCATTGTGCGTTCCCATTTTTGTACGACATTGAGAAACGGCCCGATGAATTGCGAGGCTGCCATGCTGTGTACGGTCAACATGTTATCTTCGAGTACCAGATTCAATTCGTCAAGTGGCCCAAGAATAAAGCCGCGTTCTTCTATACCTGGAAAATGCAATCAACAATCATAGAATTATATATCTCTATTATAATTAGTTTAATGATAATTATTTTCAGATCTGTACCTAATTAAATTTTTAAATACTTCAGCAAAATCGTTCTTTCCATCAACTAATTTAATCAAATTCCAGTCTTATATACTCGCATACTTGTTTGTTCAATAATAATGATAAGTGCATGTTTTTCTAAATACCTTTATAATGTTTCACCACATTAAATTCCATGGATTTCCATACTTCTGCTAATTCTTTCATGCCTCTTTCTATCGCAAGTTCTTTCACAGCATACATTACAACATCTTGTGCAATATCTTGATACTTTCCCAGTTCCATAGCGAACATATTTTCTAAAGTAAATCTGGAACGATCCAATATTCAGGCTATCATATTTATGTACTTAAAGCGAACGTTGTGTGGCTTGAAGCTTACCCCTCTATGGTAAAAAATTTTTCTTGCGCCATGTTTATATCACTTAAAAAATGTCTATGTAACTAATTATACTTTTACGAAGTAAGTATTAAATTATATGCACTTGATTGAGTTTATATTGATCATTAACAATAAATTATGTCTCTTGCGATGATCTGTAAACAAACTCGTGTAATTGAAAAAAAAGTAGAAAATAATATGCAAGATACTTGTTAATTTAACTGAAAAATTATATACAGATTCGACATAACTATTATTCTAAAACATAAATTTACATCTCGCAACGTGAACGTTTGTTATGTACGCAAGTATTAAAAAATACAAATATGTTCGCACGTATGTATATTCTATATTTGCACATGGAAATAATGGTTTTGTCGAATTATTTAAAAATTTAGCCAGTTATAGGTCTGAAGATAATTTTATTGAACTATTAAATTATATAAGACGTTTAAATTGGTTCCTAGAATATCAAAATTTTTTTGCAATACTACTCATCATGCTTGAAATTTCTATGTATTTATTTTGATGTCCAACAATATTACTTTCAGATTTGCATTTAGCTAAATTTTTAGATACCTCAGCAAAAGTTTTTTTTTTTGTGAAAATATTGCACGTTAATACAATTGCACTATGCAAATAAAAATAATACAAATAATAAAATATTCAGACATAATAAAAGATAGATACAAAAATACAGTTATCATAAATACACAAGTCTAATAGTTATCCTTCTATATGCTCATATATTATTCTTTTCGCAACTAAAATCGTAATCTATCAAGTTATCTGTTTATTCGTACGTCTAATTAACACTCGCTAATTATTCGTCATCCGCACACCTGTCCGGGTCCATATCGAAATACTGTCCGGTTCTTTTCATCAACTCTTGCCAGTGTCTTTCGCGCATAGCTTCGTTTTTCAGCTCGATGAAGAGCGGCACCGAGTTCTTGAAGTTCTTCATGTTGGTCTCTAATGCGTGGCCAACATTCATACTTCTGATAGATTTCGGCAGCCGTCGAAACTCCCTTATGAAGTGTTCCATGCCCTCGATGAGTTGTTGCGGATTCAAATTCACCCACAGAGTCTTCGCCCAGACTTCTCGCGAGCTTCTCTGTTCCTTGTAGAGATCATACAACACTTCCATGCCCTCGTATTCCGTTTTGATCTTGAAGAGAGTTGAATAATCGGTAGACGGTAAGTTAAACAAGTTTTCTAACTTTATCAGATTCAGCCGCCTTTCCTCGTATTTATTAATCAGCTTGCCATATTCCTATATAATAGAATAAGAATAAAGAAATCTTTTAACTTCTGACTTTGTTCTTATCAAAGATGCGATTATTCAAAAAATTTAGAAAAGTTAATCAAAACTCGAAACGTATTTTAGAAAAATGTTTTTGAGAAGATATAATTAATATTTTTTATAAATAATTTTAACTTTTTATAAATATCTTTAATTTTTAGAAGAATGTTTTTAAAAAGATATAATCGTATTTATAATCATCTCTTTATAAAATTTTACGTACACCCATTTTTTTCAGTCCTAATTCCAGGTCGTCCCCGATACTTCCGGGACCAAATGTTTCAAAATTTTCAGCGAACATCGCGGTGTCAACCAAGAATTGCTGGATTTCTTCTTGAGTAAGCTCGGAAAATTTGTCGTTAGTGCTTTCTAAAGTCGTAGCTCTGTAGAGCGCTTCGAGATACAACGATTCCCAGTCTCGTTGCAATTCATGCGCCATCGCTTCGTCTGATGAAGAAAACACGATCCCATGAGTGCGCATAGTTTGAAAGCACTCCTGATAACAGAGAAATTGCACTTCGGCTTGTATCGCCGTATTTTTCACGTCCGTGATCGCATGCATGATTGACACAAAACGATCCAATCCCGTAACCACCAGCTCGATCTCGCCGCGAAAGGTATCGATTTGAGTTTTAAGTTGGCCCATAGCCAATACGGTATCAGACAGAAGATAATTCCCTAAAACCTGTTTCCATTCCTTCGCTTGACGCTCGATGCCTGATAAAAGCGGTTTCAAGTTGAGCCTTTGGAAAGAAAGGAGCGTAAATCGGAGTACAATAGAAATTAAAAAATAAAAAATTAATCCTTCGATATAATGAACTTTTATCATTATTCTTCTTGTTAACAACGTTACATTTTATATTTACCGTATACTGTTTATGTCAAAATACGGTGACATGTCTTCGAGTTCCTCCAGAATGCCTTCATAAAACGCAAACTTTTCATCGTATTGTAAAAGCGTAGGTTTCGTCGATGCAAATTTTTCACAAGCCAGATTTTTGTCAAATGACCACAAATTGCTGTATTTCTTCCATCTATATAGGTATCGCCAGCATTCAGCCGAGATTCTATACGCTGTGTCGTGAATCACTTTTACAAGTTCGTTAACTATCTGCAGTAATTTTAAATCTTAAATCACATTGCGTAATGCTAATAAATTTTTTAAACATTTTATTAAATTATCGTAAAATTTAACATAATAATCGGTGAACTCTTTAGTGAAAAGAATTCTCATAAAATTTTATAATATTTTTAAGAATTTGTCATATATTACTCAATAAAAAGTAGGAAACACTTTTAAAACGCTCAAAATTGTGCAATTTTTAGATCGTCGAAACTGTCAGTAAAAAATCATCACAGACAAAAAAAATAAAAAATGTATTTTAAAGCTTAAAACTTGTAACATGTTTTAGCTGTTTTTAAAAGATTTTCATTTTTACAATTTTGTATCTTTATAAAGATCACATTGTTATGTTTTTTAAAATTACTTACATTCAATAGTCTGTGCTTTGATAAAAATGTTTTTTAAAATTTTAATACTTTCATACAAAAAAAGAACAGAGTTTTACTTACAAAATGCTTTTTTAAAAATTTTTTTGCGATTTTTCTTGATCGAATTACGCGACTTTGAAGCTAAACCTGTATTTCTTATAATCAATAAAAATTCTGAAAAATGATATGAAGAATTCTAAGAAAAATTTTTGTCAGGGCTTTACTCAACTCGAATGCTCATCACGTCTTCGAAGAAGCTGAAAGTGACTAAATCCTGTGAGTGCTCCTTTCTTTGCGGTTTGCTCTGTAAGCAAGTTCCATTCATCCATCTGGAGAATTCTTTCAGCCTTTCGAGTAAATCTCGTACATCGTAGCAAATGGTACTAAAGATTTCGTTGGGCGATGGACGTAATATTACTTCGGATGTTATTAATAATGCATCTACTTGGAAGATTGGTTTAGTGTTGTTCAACATTTTGTTCAGAACTTCCATATTTCTGACCATACATCTAGAAAGTGGATCAAACAACGATTTTGTAAAATAAAAAATTTATTTTAATGTATTTATCATTTTTACTGTTAAAAGAGATATATACATTATAAAGGCAGCAAAGATTTTCTTTTCGTATTTTTCGTACAAGAGCTGCATGGCTGGACTTGTCCCAGTAGAAGTACCCAATACTAAACTTTCTAGTTTCACAAGCATTGGACTAATCGACTGATAAGTCTTTAACATCGACGATATCAGTTCAGATCGTCGATTTTTTATCTCCATAAAATAACTCTGAAGAGGGAATTAGATATATCGTATTTAACAATAAGACAATTCCATTTTGTTAAATAATGTTTACAATAAAAAAATGTTTACAATAAAATATCCATTATTCATAAAAATTAACATTTTTCTAAATATCTTATATATATATATATAAACTGAATTTACATTTTCAGATACGTTATTTTAATGTTAATTGTTTACTTACTCATAAAAATTGTATTATTTAATACTAATTGTAAAAAATGTTGAATATCACCCATACAACATAAAAGTTTGCAGCAACAATGTTGAAATGTTACTGCAATATTACCGGAATAAACTGAGCATATGGATAATTTAATAAAACCCGTAGAAATTTCAAAAATATTATCATAAAATGTTCAAATAACAAAATCACGTTATGTTAAATTAACACAAATATAAATATAAAATATCTGTGTAATTCTCAATTATATTATGAAAAAAAAAATTTATATGTTAGTATAATACCTTGCATGGCAAGAGATCCTCTGATTCAGCGACTTCCTTCTTCGTGGAAAACAGATGGTACGATTGCAATTCAGATTCTATTCGATTATCAAGCTCTTTCTTTATCTGATTGACTTGCTCGACAATAGAGTTTAAATTCTTCAGTATTCTGTGACAGGCGGCCGCATAGTCTGAGATGGTCAGAGAGTTCCAATTGAATCGCGTCACTCCAGGCTGAATGTTCTTCTCAACATCCTGTAGAGTCTGCTTTAGCAATTGTATGTCCGCTCTGTCCAGCATATCTAGGATATTATTGTACTGTTCGATCATTTTCGTGGTGACGTCGATATCCGCTCGTAGTCGATTCTTCTGAATACCAACATCTCTGATAGTCGCAGGCAGTTCGAAACCCAACTGCTCCATTAGTTCTGCCTCTCTAATGACTTCGAATACCTCCCAATCGAAGTTGATCTGAAAGCGTAACTGACACTCTATCAAAATGGCGCCACTCATAAATTCTGGCCAAGTAATCTTCGCGCGAACGAAGTCGTGTTTATCGAAGGACACAGATGAAGTTTTACCGTCCTTCGAGGATCCTCTGGCATCGATCTTCACTTCCGGAAGTGCTTGCTCCATTCTAGAGCCCGCGGCACTTATGATCTCTGCGCTAACCTTCGATATCACACCATCTATCTTCACTACGGATTCATATGGAGATAGGATAGAACTCATATCCTTGACCTTCATTTTCGACACTACATGAGTCAGATTTTTCATGGCTCGCTCTTCGTCCGGGAAGGTTAAAGTGGCTGGATGATCCCGTTCAACCCGTACTATCCTCAGCACGCTCTTTTTCAAGGTAGTAGTCACCATCAGCAGTGCCTTATCTAGCCATGCGTTAAACGTCATCCCTTCGAAATTCTTCAGCTGCTTCGCAAGATCGAAATACTGGCTGAACGCAAGCAGTTTCAGCTCACTGTGCTTCAGTTCGTGTACTTTCTGGAAAATTAAAACCGGTCTGCGTAGTCTGTGGAACAACTGCTTCACCCAAAAGATCGCTCCCGCCATCGGCGGATGATACGTCAACAACGGTGGATGCCATTTGCCACGATGATATATGTTCTCTACGACGTTAATCTCTTTACTAAACTGTTGCATAATGATATTAAACTTCCGGAACAACTGTTGTTGAATAGCGGCACGGGTCTTCATATTTTTTAACTTGAGCAACATCTCCAGTGAATTCTCGGCACTGATTAACACCATGAAACATTCGTCGATGTAGAATTTGGCCTGATCTTCCAAAAACGTCACTTGCTCGTAAAACCACGCGGTCAACGCTTCCCAATTCTCCTTGTTGAATACATTGAAGATGTCAAAATCAGCTTCTTCGATCGGCACTACTAGTGCGTCCACTCGTTTCACCACAGCGTCAATCTGCGCCGGATCATTTATGATAGACTTCAAATCGGGCCCAAAGATATTATAGAAGTCTTGTAGGACACCGGCGATCTTGTGGAGGTCGCTGCACACCTCGGCGATGTACTCAGTATCCTGAAAGAGACGCTTCTGATCAAATTCCCAGCGAGCTCCCTTTCCCGACAGTTCGATGTCCAATCTGGTCTTCAAGTACAATCGCTTCCATTGTTTCAGCATCTCGCTAGCCATACTCGTTTTTTCCAGAATCTTTTCCAGAGGTTTTTTAAATAGTCGAACGATCGATAAATTCTGTTTGACATTTTCGCAGAGCTGCCACGATATCCGGTCCATTAATAGCATCATTCTTTCTTCACGGCAATAATAACTTGATAATACCCATAACATTTGCAATCCTTCCATCAACGAGGGGATGCACTCCGATATAGATTCAAACGAATCCGATTCGGTAATCAACTACGATGTTAATAAATAATGGAACAGTATTATTAAAATATTTGCACAAATTCTATATTTTTTAATTAGTTTAGAATTGACCTAGCAAAAATAGATTTAGCGCATGTTACAACTGTTTTATCTTTAATATTTAGAAAATTCATTTAGGAAATTCAAAAATTTTATCGATAAATCTTTGAATTCCCAAATAGCATACAACATTCTCTAGAAAAATTCTTATAAAATATAAATATTCTCAATTTTGAAATATTTCAATAAAATATTCTATAAATATACTGAATATTCTATTAAAAAAAATTTGTATTTATAATAAAAAGAACATTCATAGAATGTTCCTCAAAATTTTGTGAAGTTAGATAATCGCATATGCAATATACTAAACTCTCTAATAATACAAGACGTGCTCAGGACGATCCTGAATACATCTAGAATATGTTTTGAATATCCTAGGACATGTGTGGGATGTTTTTTTTTAGGTCTAAATTAAATAATTAAAATCTTTACCTTAAAATATCTTAACAGCGTTTGAATAAACTTATTGTTGTCCCTAGCTTCAACATAATGCTTCCAGAGTTCGGTTTGGAAGTAGTGAAAGTTGGAGGCGATCGGCGAGACTGCTTGTTCCAGAAGAGCAAGGATCCTCTTAACAATGGGCATTTTTAACTGTTCAACCAACATCGTTAATCCAGTTTCGCAGTCCTGCCAATATTGATGCACCGCTATTGGTCCCTTTCCCTGAAGTACCTTGTTCTCGTATGACTCCATTATCTAAACGATAATAAAATAAGCTGTTTTAATACGTGCTATTACTTATTAGTAAGATCTAATGTTTATTTGTTTACAAACAAATTATTTTAATTATTACGACATATGGATATACTAATCCAAAACGGTAGATAAATTAGACAAAAGTATACAAAAAAGAAATACGAAAGAGATACTAAATTATTTACCTTCTGGATATGTTTCTCCCATGATATAATTACTTCTTCCATTTGTTTAACAATATCCTTATTCTTCACTAACATATCATCTGTTATCGCAGGATCGTTTAGTTCTGAAATCTTCGGCATTGTCAGCAAAATATCGCCTTCGATATGTTCTAACGTCCTATGTTACCAAAATAAAAATCACAAAGCTATCAATATAAAAGGAGAAAATCTAGTAATAAAAAAGATCTATCAGTCTTTGATATAAAAAATAGAGCTAACCATTCCGTTTTCTCAATTAAATTATCAAGATAATCTAAAATGTCTCTTTTGAGCTGTTCAATCACTGGCTGTTTCTTTATTTCCTTCGAATGAACTGATTTGCTGGACTTAGATTCCGAAATGGACTGTTCGGATTTTCCATCAAATCCTTTCAAACTTGACTTTTGCTTCCTACTCTTTAAAACCTCGTCTTGTAAGGTTGCCATAGAGATTGTGGTGCTCCCTTCATCTGCCTTTCTGTTTGCGTCTAAATCCTGGCGGGATACTATATTTGACGCTGTCACGAAATGGGATGGTCTTCTCAACATTGATTTCTTTAATCAACGACAAAAATCTTGAAATCATTTACCATTAATAGCATTTTAATTTTCATTATTGATTTGAATATGTGTGATATACAAGAGAGAAAAGAAGCAACTCTATTTGTGTTAAAACAATTTAAAATATTATAGAAAATATTGTGCTAAATTACAGTTGAGGATTCTTTATTATTTTAAAATAAATAATATTTCATGTAAGGTAACCGAATTATCCCTTTATGATGTACTTAAATTTTGCGATTTTTTCCTAATTTTTTTGCTGAGTCCAAAATCGAAAATTGATGGTCAGATTTAAAAAAAAAACATTTCTCTGAATATTAAAAGAAATATAAGACGTTTTTAATATTTATATAAGTTCAGTGAAAATTTTAAGAAAAAATAATCAAGTTTCCAATTCCGCATTATTTGAAATTGTCTAAGTAAATAGTTAATAACATAGTACTGATTTTCTAGCTAACTCTTAAACTTTGATTATAAACTTTAGATTCTCCTTCATAGAGATTACTATCCTGATATTGAAATTCGATATTTTCGGGTTACACATTTAAACAGAGATTCCAAGAACCAAGAACTTCCTAAAACCGAGTATCACGATAATCAGATTACTTTTTTGAAATTTAAATTTAAGAATTCTGAGACCAGAATCAAATTTAGCGACTCCGAAAAACTTTAGAAAGCATTATTTTCCATTAGGAAGGTTCTGTCCTCAAAGAGTTAAAACTCTCGCTAGCATAAATATTACTTTCTTGACACTTACCGCTTCTACATCTATGTTCTTCCGTTTTCCATCGTTTTTCGTTTGCTCGCGAATATCCGGCGCTCTGAATTGATTTTCCACCAATGGTTTAAATACCTAGCGTTTTTTAAATATATTATTTAATTATTTTGACCTTAAATATTTTAATATATTGCAATGTATTTTTCCTAAAATTATAACATTAAAATATCAACAAATTTTCATAATATTATGTAAGTACTAAAGCATTTTCTTCTTTCTATATAATATACTTTTATCTCTCCATATAATGAAGTATTAAAATGGAATAGAATGCCTTTTCCATGTATTGTGACGTGACGTTTTTCGTTGACACGTTGCATCTGCGATAGCACATGGCCAGAATTTTGTATCCGTTACGACCGTTTTTCCAATGTACAGCTGAGATGGCAAATACATGTTTGTTATTCTTCTTATTATTAATTCGTGTGTGATTCTTACAGTCTTCTCACTCTCGTCTTTCGACTTTTCCCCGCTCTGAGTGAACCAATCCCTCTGCCAATTTCGTGGCTGAGCAGATGGATTTCGTCCGTTTCGCAATAGAGAATTGTCGAGAATAATTGCTGAAATTAAGTAAAGTACGGAAGAGTGGCACGCTCACTCGTGCCTGGCGCCTAATTAGAATTCCAAAGAATGTTGCGATAAGTTGAGATAAATGACAACTGATAATTTGAGAATCGAGGTAATATTGCGAGCTGCCGAATAAAAGTTGGACAAACACGCGACAAAGTTGTGCCGTCACTTGCGAGTATTTACGGTCACAGTACATGGAAGCTATTTTCAAATTGCTATATCTTGAAAATTAAACACTATACCAAAATAAAATAAAGTGCTTACGTTGACTAGTATTCTATTCAAAGAGGACAAGAATTTCCTGTCAAGCGAGCCGACCACCACATAATTCGTGATCTCATTAAGGCACTCTTCATAAGTATCGAAGGAAGGTATACTCTCGTCGCTGGTGCGCATAAAATAGAAGAACGTGATGTCCTGCAGGTCGGTTCTACTATCATCTATTTGGCCGCATATCATGTGAAGCACTGGTACCTGACGGACTTTCTCTACCATTTTCTGTAATTGTCGTAAATCAAAATTTGATCGGTCACTCAATACCGGTACCAATACGCTTTAACTGCGGTTTAAATCGATTACTACATTGTTTCGTAAAACTAGATAAAAGAAGAAAGAGATAACGAATTAGTTAAGTTAAAGGATTAATTACCAATATTGAAATCAAAGCTAAAGTTAACAATCGCTCGTTATTGGATCTTTCTTTTCTTACAAAAATTTGATTTTATGGTAGTATTTAACGATACTAATATTAGCATTATTATTATGACGATCAATTTAATTTGTGATATTATTATTTTAGCTTCAGTTTGTAATTGCGTTTTATAATAAATCCGACAGTAATCGGAGCGCAGTTTATATTACTAAAAGAAGTATTTAAAATTTATATATGTGGATATTAATAAACACCAAGATTTAGCCTTAACCATATTATCCCATCTTTATTAATTAGTTTGATTTTCTGTCATGTCATAGAATTAATTATTTAAAACAATGTCATTTAATAATAAATGATATTAATATAAAAACATAGTAATTTGTTATTTAAAGAATTACCTTAGTCAAAACGTATTTGTCCTCTTCTCCAGGCGGTGGTGCAATAACAGAACTACCTAAAGAAATTAATTAATTATTATGTGCTGTTATATATAGAGTGGAGTATTTAAAGCGTTGTATAAGTTATTATCTCTGAAAGTATGAATTAAATAAAAAATATGCTTATATAAAAGTTGTATGGCCTTATAAGGCACAAATAATAAATAGTAAAATCAATTTTTGGAAGAATAGATTTTTTATAGCCACATAAAGATTTTTTTTTATGTAATTGTATAATTTCTTTCATATAATATGATTCTTCTAATTATTCTGGATATAAAAGTATTAAGATCCAGATATCGAAAAATATATTAAGGTATAACATTTATAAAAAATTTTTATTTTAAAACTGAAAGTGAAAAGAAAAGAAGTAAACACTTAAACTTCTTAATATAAAAATAAAGTAAGCAATACATTATTGCTTATTGTAGTGTTATTATTACTATATAAAGAAATAACATTATGGAAATGATAGGCTACTAAAGTCAAGTAAAATCGTTTCCAAATAACTATGGTAATTGAGCGATCTTCATATCACATCCAAAGTACCAGTTCTCGTCTTAAATGATATATAGGTTTTTTTATTCTTAGTTTTCCTATGAATTACAGACAAGGTAGGATAACATAAAACAAAGGTTCAAGTACTGGAAACGAATATAAGCTAGGTAGCTTACAAATAATGCATAAAGTAGGTTTTAAGCTAGATTAAACAGGAACTATAAAACTAAATAAAATATGTATAATTTGTTATGTAATATGGAAAATAAATCTATTTATAGTTAAAAAAAAAAGTTCTTGTCTGATCACTGAGGTCAAGCAAAGTTGAGCATGGTTGGTACTTGGATGGGTGACCACGTGGGAGAACATCGTACGATGTTATTTTTTTAATTTTTTGCCCAGTTGGGAAGAGATCGTATGACAAGATACTCTATTAAGGATTATATGTGTGACAGTTGATTTTTTTAAATAACTAATACTTTATATGCAAAATAATTAGAGGAATCATATTATGTAAAAAAATCATACAATTCCATTTTTAAAAAATGGTTATTACTTTTATATAATCATGGTAATTTTTTTTCTAAAATTGATTTTATTATTATTTATATGGCTCCATCAGGCCATACAACTTTTATCTAAACGTATTTTTGATTTAACGCATACTTTCAACAATAGTTTGTAACACTTTAAATGCTTAATCTTGTATATATTCAAAACCAATAAAATCCAATGGAACCAAAACCAATGGAACTGACCAGTAGAAGCGCTTTTTAAATCTCCCTTTTTTCTAGGATAAATAGGAAAATCGCTACTGCCATTCTGCTCTCCGTCATCTTCTTCCTCTTCTTCCTCTTCGCTGGATTCTGGCATACTGGATGTATGCAACGTGCTAGTGCTCATTGTCGTACGACTAGCAACTGAACTGATATCCGTTTTATTGACTTTAGCTTTACCTCTCTTACCCTTCTTTCTTTTATCTTTTTTCTCGTCATCGCGTTTCTCCACTTTTCCTAATATTATTTAAAAATGTTATGCGCACGATTATTACTTTTTACCTAATTGTAAGAAGTTTATAAAACATATCGTGAAAAATATACCTATTAATTTTAAAATTATTTATATCTTAAAAATTTTATACTTTTATATAAAATTACTTTGTATTTTAAAATTTATATGAAAGTAAAAAAAGTGGGATAAAAATTATATTTCTAAACAAGAAAAAACAATACAATAAGATACTTCGTGCTTTCATTATGCGAGTTGCACAAGATGCATTTATGCATAAAACAATTTATAATTTTTATATAAAATTCGCTTACTTATTATTGAGCACAATAATACAAACCACTTTATTGCTTATTAATTTATTGCTAAGTGTTTATAGTATTATTTACGTTAATGTAATATTTAAACTTCTTTAGCTAGGAAATATAGTATGCAAAATATGATTTTTTATATATGTGCAATTTTAGAATCATGAAATCTATTACCAAAAGAATATTTGACAATTTTTTAATTTTCCCTCTCTTTATAAAATATATTTTATCTTACTTTCTTCCCATACTGGAACCTCCTCTTGAAATACTTCACTAATGTAAGTTTTATAGAAGAAAATCAACTTCTTTTCTAGATCTGTCACTCCATACAAGTCTAATATGAGAAAGTTGAGCAGCTTGTCCTCAAAATATCGATTATTTGCCTAATATTAAACAGATATTAATTTTAATTAATATTGAATTATGTATCAAGAAAGATTACACAGTGATTCAAGTAATTACGTTAATTAGTTTGTCGAAAAGATGTTCCTGATCCATCAGCCCAAGAAACTTTAAAACTCGATCTCGAATCCACTTTATTCTGTTTTTGTAAAATAACACTATTTAATAAATGCAAGAACTAATACAAATTCCAAATAATAATATAGATAATATTATATTATTTATAGATAATACAAAGATTGTATTAACTATACATACCGATAATCCATGTATGAAATAGATAATCTATCATCTTTGTCCCTTAAACTTTTTTGTTTGTCTTCTTCCTTCTTTTCATCTTTCTCATAAACATTTTTCTCCATATTTATGTATATATCATCGAAAAATGCTATTTCAAATCTTCTACATTAATTAACATAAATTTTTATTTGATTAATTCTTTTCAATTGATTAATTTTTTAGAAATAAATTAAATCGAAATGCTTAATAACCTTTTATCCCTTATTCAGGAATAATAATATTATACTTCACACGATTTATTTCTTCCATGTTTTATTCAAACAATATTTTATTTCATTTCCCTAAAACTTGAAAAGATTGTCACGGTTTTATTTACAATTGCTGATTGGAGAAATCGTTACTGTAAATAATTGTTCTTCAGTTCTCCACTAGATTGAATTGCCTTTGAAGAATGACGAATACTGCGAATACTGCACAGCTAGAAGTGAGAAACTTTACCGTCGTCGTTGCCATGGTGAATAAACGCTCTTTCGATGTAGAAATATGTATGTACAGAATAAAGGAGTTATTGATTACACAATAAAACTTGTATTTTGGTGGAATGGCAAAGGACGTTTTCCAGCAAAGGCTCAGTGCAACACGGTGAATTATTCTTGTTTAATGTTGATAAATAACAAGAATGTAATGTCCACTGTGTTACTAGCCGTGTTCCGATATACATTGCCAATACTGAAAATCTACAGCATACGTAACGTGAATTATAGATTTTTAGTACCGGCAGTGTATACAGAGAGAAACCTGAGAGAGGACATAAGGGCCTTTTTCCTGTAACCGCAAAAATGCCCCGTGCATTACTGTCCTCTGAAGAAGTGGATGTAAATTGCACAACAATATCCATTTTTTTTCAGTGCTTCTGATGGAAACAAATCGCTGAAATCGTTAAAATCTTTATTAGTTCGATAGATTTATTTCAACGATTTCGGTGATTTACTTCCATCACCTGATTTATTATCATAAGAAGAATATACAATTTTGTTATAAATATATATATATATATATATATATATATATATATACTTTATAAATATTTTCTAAAGATATCAAAATACGTAAAAATTGTTTAATAATTTTTATATACTTGTAAAAGTGATGAAAATTAATTCAAAATACAAATAACCTAACATATATATAGAAAGGATATCCAAAACTAAGGTGTGTATTAATTAAGGGTTAAATAAAGTTATTTAAGTATATATTTTAAATAAAAAATATAAAAGAGTTATTTAGTATTTATTATTTTATACTTCTGACTTATTTTTTATTTAGTGTTTTAAATAAGTTCCCACGAATCTATTTTAAATTTTTTATTTTAAAATAAGCTTATCAGTTTTTTACCGATTCCTACGATTTTATATTTTAAATAAACTTCTAAAACTTATTTTATATTTTTTATTATGTTTTTATAATATTATATTTTTTAAATAAGTAGTAACAATTATTTTACCGAGCTATGATCGGTATTATACGTAAGTTTAAAGAATTTTTGCAACACAGAATAATTTGCAGCAATAGTAGGAACATAAATTAATTTTTTAACTTAAATAATGATTAACAAGATATTTAATACATTTAACCAAAGCTGTATTGAGCGCAAATTGTTTCGTAATATTAAGAAAATTTACATGTATCTTTATATAAACTTATAAACAATGTATAGAATATTATCAATCTTTGTTTAAGTATGAATCATTTAAAAGTATAATAAAAATTGAGGCAATGTACCGTTGGAATATCAAAAATACCTCACATACGCGAATAATTACCAATTACGTTCAAAAGAGCCCCGCAAGTAATATAGAATTAAACTAATCCCAGAGATGCCACAAAACAAAGCGTAAAATGTATGACGATATCCGTTTGTTAAAATTATGTAAAATACGAATAATTGAATAAATCGTGAATATTTTTCATATACAATAGTTGGGTATCCAAACGGCGCGCGGCGAACAGCGAGTAGAAGGGGAGGCACGCTCTCCCGCGCTTTTCGTCGCGCGGCAAAAGCGAGGGGGAGCGTGCCACGCGGCCCGGTAGTCGACTACGCTGACGTCATCATTTCGGCATTCGCTCGGCGACCTTGGAGGGAGACGGAAGTTCTACGAATCTCGCTCCGTGTGTAGCATTAATTAATAAAAATTGAATATCTACGAATGCGAATTACGTAAGATTGCCTAAGGGTCCGCGCACAAAGGTGGTCGCAACTGAGTCGTAGTCGTAAGTCGTTGTCGTAGGTCAACGCACAAGGATTTACGTATGTCGTTTACGTATATCCTATTGCGTCAGTTGACGCAAACAACTGGCGCAATAGGATATACGTAGACGACATACGTAAAATTCTTGTGCGTTGACCTACGACAACGACTTACGACTACGACTCAGTTACGACCATCTTTGTGCGCGGACCCTAAGGAGTGAAACTAAGGAGTTTACTAAGGATTAATAGGTATTTTGTTGCATGGTTTTTGCTTTATTTCTTAGATTTATTACGCACATACAAAGCTCATGAATATTATCGATATTTCGTGTGTTCTCACATGTACGGTATAAAAATGAGATTCTTATTGTTAGATATTTCAAATTGTGGTTTTCTATCAATTTGAATCATATAATTCTGTCATTTTCGTGTTACTTTGCATTCTCAATACGGGAAAAGTAATAGATAAATTATATTTAAATTACATATCTCTAAAATGGATGTGCATGCTATTTATACGTATTACTCTATATTTAGTCGAAATTGTATCATAATTTAAAATAAATTTTTGCATTTATCTTCATTTAAAGGCTGTATGACATATTGTTAAGCTTTATTTAATTGTAAATCACAAAAAAGAGCAATAAAAATTGGGATATAATACAAGAACGTTAATAATACGTTTATAATACATATAATACAAGAACGTTAATAATATTAAAAACATAGAATGATCAATAATATTTAATTATGAAAAGAAAGACTAAAGACAGAAAATATAGATGCAAGTAAATACGTAATGAACGCTGTGTAACATCAGAATAAAAAGTAAAAAAATAGCAAAATTTATGTAATGGAATATTCAACATTTAAACCTAAACATTTAGTTACGGTAGTACTTTATTTTATTTTTAACTGATACGAATCACAGACAAACTTATAGAAACTCAAATTAACTTAAGGAACATTTACAAACTGAAAATGTTCTATATGTCTGTTAATTTCGGACAATCGTGTTTGTATCTTATGTTGAATACTTGAAAGTTGATTCTCACTTATGTAGTATTTCACATTTTTCAGTTCATAGGGAAACTGAAACAAATACATTTTACAATTAGGAGACGAAAGCCTTGAAATTAAGGTGGATTTTTAGTAATTAAAAATTTAAATAAATATTTCGGTGTAAATTTTTGTAAGGAAAAGATTGCAAACATTGGAATCTTTTTCTAAAGCTTCATAATTAATATTTGCCTGGGTACCCCCTCCACCCCCCTAAGAATTATGCGTATGTATAGAGAATATCATAATCTTAAAATAATAAGTTTCAAAAAAATCTTAAGAAAAGTCATTTTTAAGTAATGTGTTTGCAATACAACTACCTGAAACTGAAAATTAAATTCAGTGCAATTTGCAGAATATGTATATAAATTCACACTAAATTATTTAAAGACAGCTTTATCATTTAATACCTTCATTTCATAGTTGTTATGTACTTACATTATAATCTAAAAAAATACTTCATTGAATATTAACATTATTTTAAAGAATAAAAATAAATAAACATTATTCTAAAGAATAAAAAAAACAAAGAGCAGTCTTGTAGGAACATATACATTATATTACGAACATTAGTTACTAATAAGAATTTTTAAAGAAAGCTAATAAATAAAACGAATATGAAATTTGAATTAAATTTACTTGCCTGTTTCAGAATTGCTATGGAATACACATAATTAATAATATCTGTTAGTGCTGTTAACATGTTGATTTCTCTAAAAAATCAATTCAGAAAATTATAATTTTATATAATAACTTATTGTTATTAAATGAAGTATATCTATATTTATAAAAGGAGCTCTCACTTTGGTTTAATTTTCTCCAAGTTATATAATATATTCTGAAGTATGTTGTAGGTATTAGCATGCTTACTGACAAGTGAATGAAAAATGTTTATATAAGAACGAATAATCGCAACTTCTTCCTTTTCATTTTGTGTAAATCGATTCAACAGTATATTTGGCATGAATTTGTGTATTATGATTGAATCAGTTTCACAACAAGCTAAAAATGGTAACAGATCGTGGTCAGGTTTTCTCAACCATATATCCCTTGCCTTGAACCACACGGAATAGTCATCAAAATAGCATAATATGAAACCTCTGCAATATGTCCAGTGTTTCCACTCTGCTGAAACTCTACGGTTTTTCAAAAAGAATAATTATACATAGTATATACATTAAAAAATGTTGCTTATTTATCTTAACAGACAGTTTGTTAAGGCATGAATTACAAAAAGTTTTTACCCACAGAATCTTACAGCAACATTGATGCAACATATTCAACATTACAGCAATATTGCTAGTACGTTTATACAGTGTTGATGCAATATTACTGGCTTACTTTGTGCGGTATGACTTATGAGTAAAGATGTTTTATATTTATAAAAAAAGTATTACGGTTCTATTTCAGAATTCTGAAGATGGTATTCCAATGCATTTTTGGCCCTATTTGCGCACTGAATATGTTTGAGCGTACAAGACCATTTTAATATTTCTTGTTTGAAAGATTTAGTAAAGTCATTTTCCATTACGTGTTTTTGAAGTCGTATTGCTATTAGTGGTTTATCCAATAATTCTCGAAATTTTGCCTAAATGACATAAACTTTATGTTCATCCACTATAATAAGGTACGTTATCCTAGATAGCGCAGATGATCGTTACGAATTCAAAAAGGATTCACCTTCCTACATTTTTTCTACAATAATCTGCTCGAAATGAATTCGAAAAAAGTCTATTATCCGCAAGCAGTACGCGGTACGGCCGATAAACAGAATTAAGTAGCGAAATTCAATTCTCATAAATGAAAACTGTA